ACTAGTACAGGGTAGTAGCTCCCGATGGCAGTGTTTAACTATCCAATAACCATAAACATTGATAAATTTGCGAAAAGGCATAGTTTGCACCATTTAACATTATTAGGTATGTGGAACAAGGCATCAGATAGCAACAATACCCAAACGCCAATTTATGTACGATTGTTACCCATCCAACGTGATTCAGGGGGTCTTATGTGGCCTAATATGTACAATTTTCAACCAGTCTCTATTAAGTTTAACTGGAGATGTCTTGATAGAGCTTGCCACGTTTTCTGACTGTGATAATTGCACATTCCACTCCTGAAGAATCCACTTGTCGTCCTCCAGGGAAAAGATGGTTTTAACCATTCCATTTCTTTTAACAAGCAATTTGTCTGGAAAACCCCATTTATATGAAATGTTCGCTGCACGTAACGCTGCTGTAATGGGGGAAAAGGTTTATCTCTTAAGCATAGTGGCACATGATAAATCGATGAAGAGCTTGATCTGCTCAATCTGCCCAGGTGGAGGTGGGTTCATCCACGAGGCTTGCATTATTTTGTCCTTTGTGGTGAAATAATGGAGCTTAGTAATTACATCTCTCGGAATTGTAGGCCCCAGATCTTTCGGCCTGGGCAACCGGTGCATGAGGTCTAGTGGTAGATCCGTATCCAACAGAGCTGGGACATGGGCCTTGAAAATGTCCTGAACATAGGAATGTAATTCCCGAGGTGGTACAGATTCCGGGATCCCCCGTAACCTTATATTGTTGCACCTGTCCCTATCCTCGTGGTCAGCCACCTTCTCCTCTAGGAGCTTGAGCTTGTGCTCCAGTGCAGAGTAGGCTTCTGCTAGAGTGTTATGCACATCAACTATTTTGTCTGTTTGCTCCTCTAGTCTCACCATCCAGTGCCCCACTGACTGTATATCTGACCTTATGTCTGAGGCTTTCTGTAATAGATATGCATGAAATGGGGACTTCAGGTCTAGTAGCATTGTATAAAACTAAAAGGTGAAAGTGCACACAGTAAAGGAGTTCTTTACCTTATACATACATTCCACTTGTTTAAGATAACATAAATAATTCATAAACAAAGATAAGAATAAAACACAACATAGTGTAATCTCTATATATATTTTCTGTGAGAAGGTGTCCGAATTCAAAACACTCACAATATTTTGAGCCTATTAAAGTTGGCTCTGGACTTATAGAACATGTATGTCTCCTTATGGACACAGACAGGCTTTCTCCAGTGATTGGGTCCCACAGGATATGAGGTGCTGAAATCAGGAACTCCAAATAGCGGTAAGGTACTAAAAACGATTTATTGTTTATATATGTATAAAATCATAAACATAAAAAATATAAAATATATGCACAACGCATTTCAACCCCAAAATGGGTCTTCCTCAGGTGCTGTTGCATATTACACTGGTATAACCATGCTTTTATATGAGTACATAGATTATAAATTGGACACACATGTTACATAAATCACTCCGATCACCATATATGGTCCAGACCTTTTAAATACTTTTCCACCCCAAAAATTGCAACGTTTGCAGATCGGACATATTTCGCCACCATATTGGTGGTCTTTAATGTGGAAAATCATAAAAAAGAAAGAAGTATCTGCAGATCATGAACAACCATACAAATTGAAATTTCTATTCTTCAGAACAATGGTTCAATATGTTCTTTCAAAGTTCTTTTCCCGTGTAGTGATCGTGTAAGTTCCGTTGCGTCACTTCCTGTGACGTATTAGGTCTGAGCTTCAAAGTCTGATACATCATTTCTGGTGACATATTTCCTTACGGCAATTCATCTCCAATGGGTAGCAACATCACTCAAAAGATGATGGAATAAATAGAGGCATCAGAAGCTCAAAAGCCCGAGGTCGCGGGTGCCATTTTTAAAAGGGTATGTCCAAATAAATACAGTGTTGATTTCAAAGTCAATATTTAATCCTTTAGAAGTTAGAGTACATAACTCATATATCCATTTTTACTCCTGGATACTTCATTTCTTAGCAATATATCCTCCCCTCCATTGGGTGTTAACCTTATCAATTGCACAAAACTCTAGGGTTTGACATATGTTTCTCTAAAAATGTCGGGATATACTATGATTTAAAAAACCTTTTTTAATATTTCTAACATGTTCGCTCATTCTTACTTTTAATGGTCTATATACCTATATACTGTAGTCCACATGTTCATTACAGTAAATAGATAACATTACAAGAGTGACATGTAACAAGGGATTTCATTTTTTATTCTTTTTTGGTAGTAGCAGAGTGGAAATTGGAGACTTTCTTATTTGATATTGTTGTATTGTGACATGAGTTGCACATACCACAATCAAAAAGTCCCTTTTGCTCTTGTGACCAATCAGTTAAAAAATTCCTCGGAGCATCATCTTTTATAAAACTTTTGGTTAAAATTTGTTTTAAGCTTTTTGCACCTCAAAAAATGAATCTGTTTTTTTTTTGTGAATTTATTTTTATTTTTCAAAATAAAACTTGTATCTGATATGCATTGGTGGGACTCACAGGTCTTCAAACAAACGGCGTCACTTTGGAACATGCAGGTCCCTTACATTGCAAACACTTGGATCTCCTTATAATAACTCAGTTGGGTTCAATGTTGTGTTACATATATTGCTAATAGAGTTAGGATGTAGGATATCCAACTGTTTAACAGTATAAATTAAACACTGTAACAAACTAAACTTAGGGGTCTCTGTCACACTTTCTAAAGTTTGTAAATTCCTGTCCACTTAAAGGCGCTTTTATATTCAGTTAGGGAAAAAAGCTGAGGACTCGCAGCTCCCTTAAAATTTCAAGAAGGGACAAACAGATCCGAGTACATATATTTCAAGTGTGTGCAACCGTGTTTCAATATCAGGTATTGCAAGCAACTGCATCCTGTAAGGTAAAACAGTGTGACCCCAGCTGCTCAGCTCCCGGTTGGGTGTATGCCTTACGTGTTAGGCAGGTGGGTGCGCCTTGGTGTGGTCACTCTCTGGGTCACACCCTAAGCCCCAGGGCACAGGCCCTGCGAAGAAGAAGATGGAAGAGAAGAAGGTGAAGCGGGAAGGAGAGGGGAGAATGTGGAATTAAAGCTGGTGCGGATCAGCTCACCCACCTACTGGGTGTCTCCTACTGGGGATCGTCAGATACCTCCCGCTGTGGCCGTGGCAAGTCACTCCCCCCCAAGGGCCCCAACCCCACCCCTAGATAACTGGTCCGGAACTCCTCTGTGGCCACACGCACCAGCCAAGGTGCCCATATGTCCGTGTGCGTCTGTGCTTGATCTTGGGTTGAGTACCATAGCTCCTCCATAACTCGTAACTCTTCCATTTTGGTATACCAAAGGGTCAGCAGGGGGCCGTGTCCTTTTTCCAGTACACGGGTATTATATGCTTTGCGATGTTAAGAATGCGAATGGTCATGGAGCATTTGTAGTGGGATGTGGGGGATGTTGTGTGGTGTAAACGATAGGGGGCTGCCGGAAGGGTGGCGTGTTATCTGTGAACAGGGCCACCATGGAGGCTGTTTTTTCCCAGAACGGTACTATGATTAGGCATTCCCACCATATATGTAAGAAGGATCCCACTTCCTTCCTGCACCTCCAGCAAAGGCCATCGGTAGCTGTGTGCATTCTCTGCAGGCATTCCGGTGTGAAGTACCATTGTGTGAGAACCTTATAGGCCGTTTCCTGGGTTTTACTAGCTATTGCGCAATGGTGCACCAGGTCGCATATCTTATTCCATTGGTTCTCCGTAAGTGTTTCCCCGATGGCCGTTTCCCATTTGGACATGAAAGGGGTGGGGGGAGTCCCTGCTGTTGTTGTATCATAGAATATAAGCAGAAGACGCTATGGGGCATGGGGTCCGGTTCCTGACATAGTTGTTCAAATGGTGTGAGGTCTCTATAGTTATCAGGGCGTATCGTGATGACATAGTTCTTGATTTGAGTGTATCTAAATTCAGTCATGAAGTATGGGTGGGTGTGCCTGTGAGTGTTTGCATGGGCAGGATTTTCCCAGTAGCAGTAATGTCTCAAATTTGGGGTATTTCTTGTGGAAGGACACAGTGAAGGTTTCCGGGTCTTATCCCCAGCTCAAATTCTGGGTTGTACACCAAAGGCAATAGTGGGGACAGGAAGGAGGACAGATGTAGTTTCCTTGCTTGTGAGTGCCATATAGGCATAGTGGCTATAATAAATGGTTGTTAAGAAACCAGTCACCTGCTTACAGCGGGATTAAGCCAAATGTGGGCAGAGAGTGGCCTGCCTGTGTGATGAGCTTTGATGGCCTTCCAGGGTTTATGTACCTCCTCCTTAGCCCATTCGAAGACCCGTGGCATATGGCATGCTAGGTAGTATAGTTTGAGATCTGGGACGGCCAGACCCTCTGCTGTTTTGGGGAGTGTAAGTTGTGTTTTTTGAGTCTGGGTTTAGTGCCCTTCCAGATGAAATTAATGAGGAGGGTTCAGATTGATGTAAAAAAGGAGGTGGGGAGCGGGATTGGTAATGTCTGAAACAAATAGAGTACCCGTGGTTGGATGTTCATTTTGGT